GATTAAAAATATTTTTTAATTTTTTACAATAAAAAGATATAATGGTAAAAAAAAAGTGAAGACCAAGGTAGTTACTGAAAAGGGTATTTCTTTTATATATTAGTTTCAAATTCTTAAATTTGATTAAAAAATATTTTTTCTAATTTTTTAACATAAAAGGATATAATGATCCAAAAAAGTGGAGACCAAGGTAGTTACCAAAAAGGATATCCCCTTTATATATTAGTATATTTTATTTTTTATTTTTTTAAAATAAAAAATATAAGGTAAAAAAAGGTAGAGACCAAGGTAGTTACTGAAAAGAGTATTCCCTTTATATATTAGTTTCAGATTCTTAAATTTGATTAAAAAATATTTTTTCTAACTTTTTAACATAAAAGGTATAATGGTCCAAAAAAAAGTGGAGACCAAGGTAGTTACCAAAAAAGGTATCTCCTTTATATATTAGTATAGATTAGGAATGATAGTTTTTTTTTATAGAGTAAATTTAGTTAGAGATTCAATAACTTATATTTTACATCAAATTATAATTATTTAATTATTGAGTTTTAAATTTTTTTATAAATTTTATAAATTTTTAAAATATTTTAAAATTATTTAATATTTTATTTTATTAATTTAAATTAATATATAAAATAATTTTATGATTATCTCAATTTAAATTTGAGTTATGCGAGAATTAAATTTGAGTTTTCTCTGTTATGTGGATGTATATTCTTAGTTAAGTCACGTTTATTTATGGAATAGAAACTGATGATGATAAAATAAAAATAAAAATAGGACAAAAATAAAATAAAATAATATATTAGTAATAACTAAGGGTGTTGCTATAATGCGCATGACAGGTTTGTGTGAGTTGAGAGTGGGTGATGGGATAAAGTTGAGTGGGCCTCCTTGGCTTTAGATCCTGCACGTTCGATTATGATTAATTTTGAATTGATTATAATTATAATACATAGCAGGGCATTGATAATAATGTTATGTCTATTGTTATGGTATCATCGTGCTAGCATCTACGAGTTTTTTTCTTCTTCTTTTTCTAGCCAACTACTTTCGGTCTAAAATATGAAATCATGATATTGGTAGGGAAGGGATATCTGATTTGGGTTGAAAAAACTAAACTTCATCAGTTGACCATCTTGAAATTTTTATTTTTGGATACAAAATGCTGGTAGTAAATTTTACTACTAGTATTTTGGGATTTGGAACTTGAGTTTCAGTGATTCACAATGAAAAAGTTTTTTTTTACTTTAATCGAAACTCTAAAGGTGTGTTTAATTTCAGAAAATATTTTTCACTTTTATTTTCAGAAAATAATTTTCATTTTCTATTTTTTAAATTAAAAGTATATATTTTATTTGACTATTTTTAATAAAAATTCATAAATATTTTTGCTATAAAATTTATAATCAAAATTACTATATAAATTAGAATAATATTTTATTTAGTAAATATTTAACTCTTACTACTCTATCTTATATTTATTTGTATTTAAATACTCTTATCTCATAATAGGTAAATTTCATTATGAAAATATGTAAATGTCTCATATATATATATATATATATATATATATGTGTGTGTGTGTAAACACTAAACAAATCTTGTCTACACATAAAAATTAAGTTTATTAAATTATGTGTACTAGACTGCAAACTTAGAAATAAGTTCATAATTTTTTTTAATGATTATTATCACATGCCACTACATTTTTAAAAGTGTAGAAAATAGTAAAATAACATTTTTATTTTCAATTTTGAACTTATTTTCAAAATATTTTTTAAAATTAAAAATAAACGTATTCAAGATTATTTTTTAAATAAAAATAGAAAACGGTGAAACTAAAGTATGGTAAATTAATCCGACATTTATTAAATATCCTCCTTCAAATTAAAGCAGCTGCAGAAGTCAAAGGGCGAATACAGAACTGAGAAGAAAAAGTCATAAGAGAACATTGTTAGGCACTAGGCAGAGGTGATTGGGCCGACCTCCCACGTGAGTCCATTTACAATGGTCCGTAATTTTTTTTTTTTTTTTTGTTACACAATGGTTCTTATTTAAGAGGGTAAGCTTTTAATTTTTACAAATTTTAAAAAAATATTTCGTATATTAAACATATTTATTAAATAAATGTAAAAATAATTAATTAAAATATAATAAAAATATGTAATATTATTTGAATAAATTAAAATATAAATAATTTATTATCATGAAACAAAATTAAAATTTAAAAAAATATTTTGGGTGCATAAATAATTGACACTTCAGATAAAAAAATTAATATATAATTATATTTATAGTTCTGATATTTTATTATATGCGATTTTGATCATCGTAATTTTAATTATTTGTATTTAATTTAATTTTCATACATTTTCTATTATTTTAATTAAGTCTCTAAAAAATTTGACTAATAATTAACAAAAATATAATAAAATAGGCTGTATTATTGATTTGTATAAATTTATAAAATAAATTAAACAAAATTCTACATAAAAATAAAAATATATATAAAAGTCTGTTTTTTATTCAATTATTTTATCATTTTATGTGGTTTTCCCTTCACAAATTTATACAAACTAATAATATATCGCATTTTATTATACTCTTCTTAATTAATAGAAATTCTTTTGAGACGATAGACTTAATTTAAGTAATTGAGAAAATATAAAAAAAAAAAATGTGAGAAATTAAAATTGAAGAGTTAAAATCATGCAAAGGCTGAAGTATTAACATGAAGATTTAAAGGTCAATTATTTTGAGAGAAAAAATTATAGAAAAAGATAAATTTTAATCATAAAAACTTAAATAATTAATAATCTAATAATTTTTAAATATGAAACATTTGCATGCAACTCTCGGCTTACATGGGATTGTGGGAGGGGTGCAGTCGCATTCGAGTAACTTTGAATGTGACTACCGACACTTGGGTTGAACATTTGAACAAACCTTAGATATAATTTTATAAATACTTTTTTTTTTTTTATGTTCTTCGGTTAAAATTGGTATTTCATCGCTAATAAGTAGTTTTAGTTATTGATATGAAAGTATAGTATGTATTGAGAGATGTATAATCAATCTTGGTTGAAAAATTACCGATACTTATAATATTGTATTAAGAAATAATTTGATTTCCACTTTTTTACTCTCAATATTTATAAATATATTCAAAATTTAAAGGACCGTAAGTCATTATTGGTTGATACAAATAATTCAAAATTCAGTTTTAGTTTGTATTTTTTTATGAAATGGATTCAACACTCTTTTTTATTATTAAAATTTCATTTCGGTGATTATATTTATTTAAGAAAATTCCTTGATTTCAAAGGTAAAATATCTTTTATAAATCTTTAGTGACTCTCAATTTAAAAAAAAAAATTTAAATATTATTGATTATTGAGCTTCAACTAATCCTTAAATGGGTGATAATGTTTGGTTTAAGAATTTTTAATATGTCATTAGTTTTTTATTCGATAACCATGAGGCCATAAGGGTACCATCTCTTATATTTATATATTATTTTAAGCATAAAAAAATTCAACAAATTATTTGTTTTTAATTTTATTTTAATAAAATATTTTGGTTCAGGAAAAAACTGTTATTTTCACTTTTTTTTTATATATTAACTTTTGGAAATGAAAGTAAAACTGAGATGTTATTTTGTAATTAAAGTAAGAATAAAAAATTTATAAATATATTTTTTAAACTAGACAAGTCCTAATTATCCTTTACATGGATTGAGTTTTTTTATTAAAAAAATTGAGAAAAGGGTAGCAAACAAATTACATAGCAACTCTAAAGACTGCAATGCGTTTGATTTCCAGTTTGAACATTCAATTCATTTGGATGTCTCTTACATATTTTCCCATTTAGTTGCCTAAGAATGTGTGTTACTAATAAAAACATACTGAAAGTAGTATAGGTGAAGAATCAGCTGGCGGATAAATAAATATATAGGAAAACAGTGACATGAGAAAACTCTAAATCCATATCTAAGTATAGTGTTTGCAGCGATGCCACAATAGAGAATTTGAGGGAGCACTTCATGGGCCAATTTCCACAGTGCAGGAAACTTTTTATTTTTTATGGGCCTGTTCAAGCCCAGAAAAATCCACTGATTACTTTTATAATAAATTTATTAATAATCACTAATTTACTGTTGTTATAGTTTATTCCTTTATAAGACTAAAATCAAAGTGTTATTCGTTTTTTTTATATAAATTATTCTAAAATGTCTATTGTATTAATTATTTTGTATAAAAGATATTTTTATTAAAATTATTTCTCTTAATTTAATATATAGTTAGTAGAGTAAGTATTTCATTAATGTTAGAAACAGCATTAAAATAAATATATATATATATATATATATATATATATGTAAGATAAATTTAATATTATCAGCTAAATAAATTATTTTTAAATCTTTATTAATTAAGTAACAGAGTGTTATAAAAAGAATAGAAGTATTAAACTTTCAATGTCTCGGTGAGTTCCTTATTTCTAAAGATTCAGATGATTTATGAAAAAAATTGAGAATATGATTTATGATGTCATCAACGACTACAGATGAAATGAGTTACTGCAGGTTCTTGCTTTAAAGTTCAAATTTTTCTCTCATTGGCATCAAGTAGGGCCCTTAATTATTTATTGAAATAATATGGGTACAGTGCACGTACTAGCCTGAAGCAGTCTGTTATTGACAAGAGTTATGTAACAGTAACTTATTAGTACCTTCCATTCAGATTATGGTATTCTTGTGTGACTTCACGGGCAAAAGGGACCACGCATTTCTTGTCCCTTTAACTAGTTGCATTACATTAAGTTTTAAGAGGAAAAAAGCTGGGTAGCAAACTGAATGGCAATCAGAGAAAGAGAAAATCTCATAATTTTATTTCTGAGTTGTTGTACGTATAATATAATAATATCCATGCTAGGTAGCAAAATAAATGAATTGCAAATAATATATATAGTAGCATATTAGATAAAAAAAGAAAATCTCAAAATTTGATTTCTGAGTTGCAGGTAGAATTGATGCTTTGGTCACGTACGAAGAGAGAGAGATGACAAATGGAGTAACTAGTGGCCTTTATCTTGAAGAGATCCAATAATACCTTGACTTTCCCCACTAAGGTGGTTGTGGAGGTAAACTCTACAACGCCCCTCTCATTATCATTGGGTAAGTCCTGAAATTTTTCGGCATCAACAAAAATAGTGACAGTGGTGCTTATGTTATGATCTTTACGAGCTGGAATGGTGTCCTCATGCAGTGGAGCCTCGGCAACAAGATTCCCTCGATAATAAATATAAGCTGTGCTGTTCTGGTAGGTAAAGCTTCCATGGTTGGGGTTGTCAACCGTCACCACTGTGCCTAATGATACATTTAATGCCAGTGCAGGAAAAACCTCAAGAGAAAAATGTTCAAGCTTAACCGACTGAAGATTAATATCAGGGTCTTTAGGCTTGAAAACAGTGAAGAATAAGACAACTAGTACCACTATGAATATAATTAGAATAATGGCAGCGACACCACAACAGATTTTAAGCCCTCTGGAACACCTCATACAACATGCCATGGTGATTTTCACATATGGGTAATGTAGATCGAATTTATATATAGAGACTATCTAGAAGTTACTATCTCGCTTTCGTTACATGGGAATAGCCGTAACTTTATGTTTGTGAGTGTTTGTTTTAATAAGAAATATGAAATCACTAATTAAAGTTGGGATGTAAACTATGAACCAGACGGCTATTTGGCATTTTGCTTTCATCCTCCGATTCTTGTTTTTGCAGATACACGATTTCCTTTTTATACTAGTTTCTTATTTTTATTTTTGTCTATTATGTAAAATTCAACATCGTATTTGCATATATAGAGAAAAATAAAATAAAAAAGTAGCTGAACGAGACATCCCGGATCGTGAAGAAAAAACCTAGCTAAGTCAATACCATTACACATTAGTCCCACATAAATAACTTGTCCAAGGTTAGCGCTTAGGCTACCATTTAACGCTAATATTAGACAATACTACATAAATCAGACTCATATATATAGTACATAATACTCCAAAGTTATCAAGTACTTTAATCCATATATTCAAATAGATTGTGGAACAAAGCCAAATGATGATAAGAGGATTTCAAGGATTTTGATAACTATACATAACAGTTAGAGGGTATATATATATATATATATATATTTAATTTGGTTGAAAAGTAAATAAAATCTCTCACACATATAAATAAAGAAGGTTATAATAATACCGATGTAATTTTTACTAAGTATTACACTGTTCAATAACTTTATATTAAATGTAAATTTTGTAAATTCATTCATTAGATTGAAAGTTTATATCACTTTATATATTTATATCAAATTTTATTAAAATTGAACAATAATTTGAAAGTAATCAAAATATTCATATTTTATTATATTTTGAAACGTATATATTACGTCAATTTTATTTTATAAGAATGAAGTATCAGATTATTTTGGATTAATATAAAATTTTGTATATATGACATAAGAATAAAAAACTTTCAATCTAACGATTAAATTTACAAAAATTATATTTAATATAAAATTATTGAATTATATTAGTAAAAATTATACTAATATTATTATAATCCTCCTCTATATATATCTTAAAAAAATTTAGCATAAAAATGATATATAAATCAACCTAGTTTTTTTAAGTCTCAATTTCACGTTGGTTTATAACTAAATGAATTAAATTAAGTTGATTCAACGGATAAAAAAATTAAGTTGACTCACAAAATTAATGGGCCATGGATTTAGGTACTCATTTAACCCTTTAACGAGTTGATACACGAAATTGATAATAACATGTTATGAACTTCATTTTTTTTTTAAATGTATTTATGAATACTATAGATAAGAATTGATTTTTTAAATGATAAAATATAAAACATATTTTATTTATCTATTACTCGTGAAACCACATGTTACACAGATCAAGTAAAAAAAACTCAACTAATAAACAAATTTATATATTATTTAGTGTGTGAATTACGCTGAGCAACTCTAAATTATTTGAGGAAAGTAAACTTAATTAAACTCAACTACTCTAATTTAATTAAAAGTCTCGAGTCTGAATACTATATATATATATATATAGTTACATTAAATATATCCGACTAAAATAAAATTGTTTTCGGTGAATGATCTGATATATTTATAAAACAATTTTATCTGTTTTTTGATCCTCATACATAGTAGGTTATGAACCAAATTGTTGCAAGTTAAAAAAACTAAAGTAATTCTAATTTAAGATAATCTAACGATTATGTTATAGAGATGCTTTTTAAAAAGATAATTCATGTTTGTTTATGATTTAGGGTTTAGGTTTTATATAATTAAATCTTTCAAAAAATAACTTTTGGTTTTAAGAAGATTTTATTTTATTTTCAGTTTTGATTAATTTATAAAAACTCAAACAAACACATAAGGCAAAAAAATATTATGAAAAAAATTGAAACATAGAAAAAACCATGTATCCACCCTACAATAAGCAAAAAGACAATAACAAAAGGGAGCATGTCATAAATAACATATTTGTGAACAAGGAGAGGATTACGGGAATTTAAAATTCGAGATTAGAGATGTGAAAGGTTAAAAACACGTTGAGAATCTTTCACTTTGCTTAGATAATAATCAAGAATAAATTCTACTTCTAAAAATATAAAAGTAATTATTTTCACCATGAAAATAGTCCCAATAAACTATTCATTTGTTGGCATATTATTCCAGGTGGTAAATGACATGTGACATGCATGGCCTTGACTAAGAGAGATCATGTGAACTCCTTCTCTTTTCTTGTAGGACGGTTTGAATTTATGAAATTGTATTATTGAAATTTTGAAAAGTTATTTTAATATAAAATAATTTTATAATTTTTAAAATATTTCTAAGAAATATCATGTTTTTTAAAATTTATTTTAAAATATGAATTTTAATCAATAATTTATAATTTAAATTTTAATGAATTTTGATTAATTTATATCATAAAATTTTAAGGAAATTTATAAATTTTACAGATAAATATGAATTTGTAAAATACATTTAATTCTATAAGAACTAAAAAATATATATATAACATATATAATAACAAAAAATAAATAAAATCAACACAATTCTTTCTACTTTTTAACAAATAATTGTTTCTATTTTTTTTTGCAAAGAATTGTTTCTATTTTTTTTATAAATAAACAACTCTAACATTTTTCTAACTAATATTTATCCACATATTTAAAGTTATACTAGTTCTCTTTCATGATTTTAAGTCTAAAAAATATGTTTAAAATTATAATTTTCATAAATCAATAGTACTAAAGATGAAAATTTATCCATTAATTTAATTAAAAATTCATCAGAACGATATTTTTTGCAAAATAAAGTTATGTAGTGTTAAACATGTTAATACAAATTCAGTTTGTGTTTTAAATTAAAATGAAGATGTTGACTTAAAATTTGTGAAACATTATACAAAAATATCAAATATCTTCTTGATCAGATTTTTTAAAAATATATGATGTAAATTAAACATTTTATTTTCATTTCAAAAGTCATTACCATAACTTGCAAAATCTTGAAAACAATATTACACATCTCAAAATGGAGATAAAAATTGGTTTTTCTTAAGAAATCCACCGTTTGCAAAAAAATATTTACTTAATTACATATACAACACATATAAAGTTAGTTTGAAAAGATACAAAAATAAAATAAAATACACACACATAAATATATATATATATATATATATGTATATATATATATATATACACGTGATAACTTGAAATTATGAGATGAATCTTTTTATCACTAAGAACATACAAATTAAAATTACAAACCACTAACTTTTTGTGATATTTTTTCATGACGATTATGATAATTATTTACGTCTCGTCCCCTCACTATTATTAAAATAAGAGTACTATTAATAGCTCGAATGCAATCCAAAATTCTTTTGTATATTATTAAAGTTCAACCATTAATTATAATTTCACTAAAATATAAATCAAATATTTCAATCAAAATGATCCTTAAAATTACATTTCATTAAGATATTAATTATCACGACTTAAAATTTATTGAAGATGAACATCTTCTAACAATATCTTTAAAAAATGTCACTTTTTTTTTTAATTAGTATCAAATGTTGTCATATAAATTTTGAATTTTTTTAATTTCCTAAATATGATTATCTTTCTCATTTTTTCAATCTTTTTCTCTTCTCTTAGTTTTTTTTTCCCCTTTTCAATATATTAGATATTTCATGTGACATGCATGTCCTTGACTAAGAGAGATATCTGGAACCCTTCTATTTTCCTGTAGGACAAATTTGAATTTAGAATACTTAAATTGGTCGTACTCATATTAACCGCAACATTCGCAATTTTTTATTTTAGCACGTCAAAAGTCAAAATTATGCCACTTCAAACCGTTGAGACCAAACATCCTTTATTATTTAAGATATTGACTCTCTTAACATTTATTTTTATATAAAAAAAAGTTAAAAAAAATATAAAAATAAATAAAACTTTGAATATATAAGTTAAAACTATTTTATAAAATTAAATTTTAAGTTTAATTTATTATTTATTATAAATTTTTTTATAAATTTGATTCAAATTTTTTAAAAGTCTGATTCAGCTTATTAATTTATTTGAAAGTGTGTATTAGATTAATAACACTAAATACAATAAATTTAATTTTAAATAAGTTAATAATTATATTTATTAAATATACATGCAAGTCTGATAAAAAAAGTTTAATTTATTATTATTATTATTAAAATTTAGAGTTGAAAGTACAAATAAAAAATTGAAGGATAAGTTGTATATTATGTACACTAGCGTACACTCACGCGTAATAATAATAATCATATTAAAAAAATATAAATATTTTTTATATCTCATTCAAAATATTATAAATAATCAAGATGAAAGAAAAGAATAAATAAAAATGAGATTGTTAAATTTTTTATTTTCAATTTCTTAATTTTGTATGCATGTAAAACAATTAAGTGTAGTGAAGACGTAAAAAATATTTGATAATTTGAGTGTTCCAAAATATTTGACCAGTTAGCTTGTTTTATAAATATATTTTTATATATTTTTTATTTATAATGTTTTTTTTAAAATTTTCTTATGAATGTTAATTTCTATTTTTATATCACATGAATATTATATTATTTTTTCTTCTTATTTTTAAATGTACAGTTTAGTTCAATTAATTTAACATTATTAAAGTAAATTCCATGTTCTTTCATAGGATTTCAGGGATGATACTAGTATTACAATTTCATACTCTTATGTTAATTTAAGGTTTGTTAAAATATAGTTTTTAAAAAAAAATATATAAAATACATTTTTTGATACATAAAATTCATGATATAAGAAGGAAAGTAAGCAAAAGTAATTATTTGTTGGATTTATCTTCACCATCAAAATTGAAATTCAACTCAGCAAACTATATATCGAAAGGAGATCGAGTTGCACGAACCTTCTCGGCTCACATGCTTCTTTAAACAATAAATACTTGTATCATATGAGAAGACCTGAAACTTCGTCTCAATTTACGCATATGCAAGACCAGATCAAGTTCCATTGTACTATTGTTTTTTTTTATTAACGTATACCGCATCAAGTTGGATTTTGAGGATGAAAATTAAATACTTGTACATTATTATGATAGTATTTAAATAATCCTGCAAGGATTCAGAGAGAAGCTGAAGATAACGTTACAATACAAATGGAATCATGGATCTCCAACAAAACTCCAAGTCACATGCTGCCAAGTTTTGCATTGCAGAGCAATTACTAGCACCACAGCCATGTCGCTGTTTTGCATTAAATTATACAGACCATAACTTTTCAAATTTTTCAATCTCTACTGGGTAATAATAAAGTTTCAACTTTCCTTGCTGCCAAAATCCAAATGGAACTTCCAAATATAGTCACATGCAGCTTTTTAACCTCACTCCCACGTCAGATATCCATCCCAAGATTAAAAAAAAGAAAACATAATAACAAAAATATTTCTGAACATGACCGTTGATTTAATTAACTTGACTAATTCACAGATCATCGACAACTAAATTATCTAAACTAAACTGCATGTGAAAATGAAGCCAAATTAACACGATTGATTTGATTTGATTAGGTTAGATTTAGATTTCGTTACTGACCATTGTTTTGTTCTGAATCAAAGAGTTCTTGCAATGCGCGATGGCTCCTTGGATTGCGCTCTGCAACTCTTCCATGGAAGAAGTGTCTCCACAGTACACTTTTTGAGAAAGAACACCAGAATGATTTGGAGATGATCTCATTGAAGAAGGACAACTAGAGACGCAGCTTCTCCTTCGCGGGTATCTGAGGTTTCCTGAGAAAGAGTGAGAAAGCGCACCCACACCTCTCTTGGCACACGTTTGTTTCGCGGTGGATCTCTCCGTCTTTGATAACAGAGACAAAACCGAAACCGAAACCGACGTCGTTCCAGCACTACTTGCACACTCCGCGCTTAACCTTAATTCTTCTGTTTTCTGTTTCTGCGAAAGCTTCTCGTAGAGGGGCTTCACTTTTTTTATGTACTTCCTGATAACCTCCCTGGCGGTGACGCTGATTCGCTTGACAGAGGAATTATTAGAGGCAGTGACATCGGTTTTGGTGTTGTTTTCTTTGCGGAAAACGGAGGAGAATCTGGAGAAGGAGAAGTACTTGTTTGGTTTCTTGGTGGAAGGGTTATTGTGGAGGCGTTTGAGGTCATCGTCGAGGGCGTCGTCAGTGGCGGAGCTAGGGCGGGAAGAGTCGCAGTCCGGGAAGAGGGCGAGGTCGGTGGTGAAGGAGGAGTGGGAGTCGTTGGAGCTACTGCCGGTGGAGTCACGGGCGGCGGTGGAGGTGGCGGAGGAGGAGGTGCTGGAGGAGGAGAGGAGGAGCGTGCGGACCATGGAGATGCGCTCGGAGAGGTGCAGAGGGAGGAGCTGGCCCTTGTAGAACAGCTCATCCGCAGGGCACAGTGCTGTGGAAGATTTTCGCGGCGAAATTGAGATGGTGAACTCGAAATCCGAGGATGAAGAGGAGGAGAACGAGTGAGAGGGTGACGAGGGAAGCGTGTAGGATTTCGATTCTCTCACTCTTCTCCTTCCCATCTCTCTTCTCTCTTTCATCTACCTCATTTTTGGTGAATTATGCAGTGTTTCTATGTCACAGGGCCAAACTTGAAGAAAGACCACAACCCCGGCATTTATAACATCAAGAGAACCTCTCTGTGTTTTTTATTATGGTTAATAATACTCCGTACCATGGTTAATCACTTGAGACAAAACTTGGAGTAATGAAGGCTCGTGAGACTGAAGACCTTCACATGGGATAGGTGGAGTTTATCAAACGTTTTTGATCCAAGTCGACCTATGTGTTGCCGCCTTTCTCATTGGACCTGTCACGTGCTCCACGCCTGAAACCAGGATGACCAAACACATGTCACTTTTTTTCTCCCTAGGATTAAGAGTTTTGGTGCACTCCTACAACTTATTTATGGAATCTATAGCTCAATCAATTTAGCTACATTAAATACATTTTTCAATGACTCTACCAAAAATTTTACACTATGAAACTTCATCTTACAATTGTGTCATCACTATATAAATTTAAAAGTTAACTTAATACATGTGAAATTGAACTGAGGAGGTCAGCTCTGGGACGATTTTACTGAAAGTGTTCTTAATTTCGAAATTAACGGAGTGTGAATATGATTCAAATCCTGGTCGTGCATTCTGAAACATGGTAAGGTTTAGTATAATATTTTTATTTTTATTTTTTGACGGAGCAGATAGGTAGACTAATAATAGAACTGCTTTTGCATTGAAGGGGCACAGATTTTGGTGAATGATGATTCCTGAAGGAACATTAAATTTGGTAGCATTGACTAGTAATTAAAATTAAGATTACCTTCTCCGGCAGAAACCAGATATTTGTTCTCTTTTTTTTTTTTGGTTGGATCCAGTTATTATGTTAACTTGTCAGATAATTTGGATCGAATCTCAATTCAACGCAATGGGGCATATGCTTTTACAGCAGGATTCGTGGCATTACCGGTGGGGTGGCTACCATGCTTTGTTTGCAAGGTGTTCAATATTGATTGATTACAAAACAGCTGTGTTATGCTCTAAATTAATTTTAAAAAACTGTATTAATTTAGTCACTTTTATTAGAATTGAAAATTAGTAATAAATAATTCAATTATATTTATTAACAATTTTTATAATTCTTCTTAGACTTTTAATGATTTTACGATTAATATCTTTTTATTTATTTAGTTAAAAACTAATATAAATCTCAAAATCAATGCAAACAATAATAATTATATTTTAATTACACTATTTAAAATGATAATAATACTATTGCGCTGTGTTGTTTCTTATATTCTGCATTTCTCTTTCAGAATTATATGGTCTCTATTTATCTATAATTTATTTACTTAATTATAAGTTTAGTTATGTGTTTTTAATCAGTTTTTTAATATATGTTAAGTTCTGGTGTTCTTTGACGAAGATGAAAAATCGTAGTGAAAAAAAAAACACATTTATAAGCAAAATACATAACTATAATAATTTGGTACGAGGTATCAAAATATCCGAAAATTTTATTTTAAGAAATAACATGGTTCTTTTCATAAAAAAAAAGAAGCAACAACATAATTAATCTAATATTGACTGAATAAATAATCAATCAAATACTAAAATAATTATCACACAATCAATCCTAGGCAAAAAATAATATAGAAACGTACTACTGCTTTATAATAATTTTTTTAATTAAAGAAAGGTAAATTAATATATATAAAAATTTCAAAAAAAATTATACAATCAATCATTGAAGAATATTTATTTTTTCGTAGCATAGTATCTCTCGGCCCATTGGACCAGTCATATATAATTTTAAACATATTTATCCTAACATTATATTCGATTTAAATAAATTACAAATGTCATTGTAAATTTTTTATTTTTAGTTAAAAAAGTTAGTCATTTAGACAAACATGGTTGTAACAACTATAGTTTTAAATGGATGAATACATAAATTTTAAATTTTCAAAATTAATAACTCATCAATCCTTAACAACTAATTAAGTGTCTAAAAAAATATTGAAACTTACTAAATAAATACCAATTAGTTAAATTAATTAATATTTTATAAATTATATAAATCATAAAAATAGAATCTGAACTATATTTATATTCACTGCGTGCTCTCACATGTACACGTACATGTAAAATATTATTATTATTAAAAAATAATAATAAATAAAAAGGTATGAGAACCAAAGGTTGTTTGCTGAAACATGTTTTTTTGAGTTGGAGAAAAGATGAAATATGCACAATATTATAATATAATAAAAATTTAATAATAATAATAATAAATAAGAGGTATGAGAATAAAGGGTTGTATGCTCTGTTTTTATGAGTTGGAGAAAAGACGAAACCGCCTGAATTTAGTTGTTATGTGTAATTCAAAATTAGACGACTTGTGTTTTTTATTTGTATAAAATTTCAATCGATGTAAATCACATTTAATGTTATATGGTGTCCAATTTTTACGAAATAATTCGATTAATTTAAATTAAATAAAAAGTATATTTTTGTAGCAATAAAAGTGTAACACGGTGAATGATCTAACTTGGAATTTTGTATTTTGAAGCATGTTAGAATGAAAATGGTGAATTGATTTTTAGTTGTTGCACGTTGATTTTGAATACATATATACGTTGATTGTAATGTATATAATTGATTTGTAGTGTTGCATGATTGGAAGTTGTCAAGTTTCAAGTCCTTAGAGGTAGATTCACGCTTTGCAAAGTTGTAGATTTCTCATCGTGTCGAACATTCCTTCAAGGCATCGAATGTGATTTCAACATGAAGCCATCTGTCTTGTCACGCTGGGTGCAAGATTGGTGGCATCAAGTGTGAGAAAAGAGACTCGTCTCGAGTTTAAATGACGTTAGACATTAATTATGTAAATGGTGTCGAGCATGGGAACAATGGGAAGTCTCTAACTTGATAACACAAACCTAGGGTTGAGTGGAACTGAATGTGGCCAAACTAAAGCTCTTTATCTTAATGACATTGAACGTCAATATAGCAACATCGAACGTGAGTTAGACAAAGAATCTATACTTGAAACAAGGTCGGGTGTGGTACATTGCCACACTAGGCGTGAGGTTTTAGTGACCTCTACTTTATCCACGTCGGGTGAAGAGTTGTGTAGCATTAGACATGGACGAGATAGAGAGTTCCCTGCCTGAATGGTGATAGGCATTAAGTGTGTGGCATCGAGCACTAATTGTTGAATGAAAACTTGTCAATGATGATCTATTGAATATGAATAAAATAAATTAATCTATTTCATGTCTTAAGTTGGTTAACGTTGAGTATTACATGTATGGTGATGTATAATGGTGATTAAAGATGGTAGATGGTTGAGAGTTGTGAGTGAACTAAGTTGTACGTTGTGTTGTATTTGTTGTGTATTGGTGGAGTAGTTTAGTTGGAAATGCCTTGTGCAAGATGTTGTTATGTTGCTGAGATGATGAATGTCATTAATGCTTTAGGAATTTAGGCACAATGTTATTGAGTTGTATTGATCAACCCAAGACCGAATGAGAAATTTTTTTAAAGTTGCATGTCTCATTATGTGAATATATTATGTTGTGGTACTCTAAGAGTCCTATTTGTTGAAAATCCTTATTGAAAAGTTGATCCTTTAGGAAAATGAGTTGAGACAAAGTCTCCTCCAAGACCTTAGTTGGTACTTTGTGAGGGTAAAGGTTGAGACACACATGTATAAGACGAATAATTGAGTAAGTACAAAGTTGAAAATTTAGTTCTTAACCAAGTATCGAAAAGGCATAGTATTTAGAGGATAGCTAGTGGGTTAATCCTACAAGAGACTTAATTAAGCTAATTAATGTCGTGGTAAGCCTATAGTTAGCTATTCTACCCTGTTATACCCTAACAATGGTACTAAACTTCCTTATTTAAGTGGTGTCATTAAGAAACCAAGTGGTTGTGTTGTGAATTGATATCCAATTTGTTATTGATCTAGCAAGATAAAAGGATCACCTTGTGTTATTAGTTTGGTATGATTAAACCACTTAGATTGCTCACACTATGTTGTAGTATATCTCCTAACTAAAATGTGTGATGACACATGTAGTTGTAGTGTTGTATAAATTATGTTGTGTGATAAAAAATGTGAGTTGTTGATGAAGTGATCTTTAAGTTGCTATTGTGTTGTAATAGACTGAGTTGCTTATGTTGTTATATGTTGGTTGATATATATATATATATATGAGGAGGGTTCAAACGATACCGGTGTAATTTTTACTAAGTGTTACATCGCTCAATAACTTTATATTAAATGTGAGTTTTGTAAATCAAATCGTTAGATTGAAAGTTCTTTACTCTTAGATCATATATACAAAATTTTATATTAATCCAAGATGATTTGATTCTTCATTCTTATAAAACAAGTTTAACGTAATATATTTATTTTAAAATATACTAAAATATGAACACCTTGATTACCCTAAAGTTGTTGTTCAATTTTAACAAAATTTGATATACACATATAAAGTGATATGAATTTTCAATCTAACGGCTGAAATTACAAAATTCACATTTAATATAAAGTTATTAAACGGTGTAACACTTAGTAAAAGTTACACCGGTGTCGTTTGAACATTCCTATATATATATATTAGTTATAATTTACCCTTACGTGTTTTCATGTGATTTGAATTGTAATGATCATATGTGCTATAAAAATAGAACAGAAATAGGTATGAGATGTTGCATCTGAGATAGCTATCCAAAGGATGGCAAGGTTGCTGTTGTTTTTGGTGCTACTTTTGTGTAATATGTTGTATAGAAGTTGTTTGACTAGTAACTTATATTATATAATTTACTTTTACTAGTTTACTATATTTATATCACTTTTAGTTGTGTAATTGTTTAACTATTACATGAATGATATATAATACATATTTATCAGTAGACTTAAAACTTTGAGTTTTAGTTATTATCCGGTACAAGTAGTTACATCGTTAGTGTAAGATCGTTACATAAAAAAAAATAGAATTTCAAGAATAGGATAAAAAATAACTTGTAAAACTTTTCCACGTATTAATGTTTCTTGCGTAGTATACATATAGGAATTTAATTGATTTTAATCTAATAAAATAATTTTTTCATCTAAAATAACAAATATATTTCCAAAACAGGGTGGAAAAACTTGTAAAAAAAACAACGTATGATTGGTTTATTTTGTAGTATACATATAACAATTTAATTGATTTAACTAAAATAAAATTAGATTGTTACACTAGAAAAT